CTACAACCTCTGCAGCAGGGAGTGATGAGATATCTCAGATATCCAGCAAACATACATGTCACCATGAGAACTTCTCTTTAAGCCTCAATAAATGGCATCAAGCCATATGTTGGACGTTGAGATTATTTCTAAATATTCATCAACTTAAATCTTAAAGAGCTAGTATCTGAAGTTTCAGAAAGTGTTTTTCCTGGAGCTATTTAAAGAACTACATCATAGGACTCTAAGCATTAACATCACTGTGTGTTTACAGTCACATCCTCTTTACATTTACGTTCTACAGACTTTACCTAATGTAACTTGTTGTTTTTCTTGCTGATTTAATCACCCAAAACATGAACAAATGCACGTCAGCTGCGATGAGATTTCTGCAGTTGTTTTCTCTGGTTGTAGAACCTGATTGATAAAACCAGAGCGGCTGGTTTCTGGAGGTGTTGATGGTGTGAATGTGAATGAGTCTGTCTGTGGGTTTGTGGGAAACCGTTGCCACTCGGCAGATTTCAGTGGGTGGATGATGATCTGCACAGTCTCATGGTGAATCACTACCGCATGACAAAGAGGCCAGCGGAGTGGGAACACATCCACGAATCAGACGCCAGATTTACTTTGATGTGATGATCTCACTTGATATCTGTCGTTTGGGTCATTTAAGATAATTTCTTAATTATTATTATTATGATATTTAAATCGTCCCTCTGTGGATGCTTGGATACATTTTTTGTTTTAGAGCTGCAACAATTTGTCCATTAATTCATTCAGAAAATGAATTGTCATAAACTTTAATAAACATTTTGGTCATTTTTCAAGTTTAAATTCTCTAGTTGCAGCTGGCCATATGTGAGTAGTTGCTGGTTTCCTTCAACTTGTTTAATGTAAATTAAATTTTCTTTGAGTTTAAGACATTTGAAGACATCAACTTGGAGTCTTGAGTAAACGTGTAGACATTTTTCACTGCTTTCTGATATTGTATAGACCAAATGAGCCCCAAAAAAAAAAGAAGATTGACAGGTGAATTGATAATGACAGTAATCATTAATTGCAGCCCTAATGTGTTTCTGTAAATGTTTCAATATAGTCTCAATTTTGAGCTTTAATCACAACATTTGATCATCTTTAACCCGGTTAAAATTGCTGTACTCGTCTCTATTGAAACACATATTTCAGTATCAGTGAAAAAAATCAAACTGGAGCTGTGGTAAAAATGTGTCTGCTCTGCTGCAACCAAGATTAATATCTGACGTCCTGCTGAAGTTTATGTGTAGAGTCATTAAACAGGGAAGAGAAAGCAGAAGAGAGGCAGAGCGATAAACAATTCTAGTTTGTCTCCAGAAGGCTGCAGACACTGTGACCGGACAAACCACAGCAACCACTTTAAACTTAACTATCAGCCAGTGACGTTTACTGACTTGACATGAGCAGATGATAAACCGCTCAGACAGCCAGGAAATTGGGTTGAAATTCGTGCTACATTTGGATGGAAACCTGATTAGAGAGAGGTTTTACTTGTAGTGAATATCCTCAGCTGACCTGATACTGATTCTTTACAGTTACTTGGTTTGCATCTTTACACAGCCAACGGGACGTCCGTAATATCTGACTGACAGCAGGAGTTTTCCAGTGTGATGGTGAATGCATCCTTTCTTTGATGGCAGATGTCTGAGTAGTGTGCTTTGCTGGCTTTCATATCGCTGGTAGCCTCAAATGACCCAGAATGCAGCAGCCTCAGTTAAGAACTGAACTGACCTGAACTGAACTCAAGACAGGGTTTTATCTTTTTATATATACGTTGCCTCCAGTCTTCTCCCTCCAGTCATCCAGCAGTGGTTCAGCAGCACAAACACCACTGCTGCAGAGAACAGACGGTGAACAAATGTCTGTTGCAAAGAAAACATCTCCAGTCTGTCTGAAGGTAATTTGTCTTTACAAAGTCCTCAAAACCACAACGATAATTTGCTGAATTAATTCGCATGTGGCACTAGACGTGGGCCGAAATTGGATAATATTGAATATTGCGATATTTCCCACCATGTGCAAGTCCGACCCTCATTTCACTGCTTTGCTTACTCCACTTATGTGACAAATGAAACTTCAGCAGCATCGCTTATACCTGAAACATAAAGTACAATAATATAATAATGTATTATTTAAAAAATCCACTTGAAAATCGCCCAAGCCTGTGTGGCCTCTGAAATAAGGTTGAAATCCCAACTGGAGTTCTTCTTCATCTGTTCAAACAAGAGTGTAAAACTGACTGTGTCACATTTTAATATTTAGTTCATTTAGTCAAATGAAATTCACACAGGCTCACAAATACACCACATGGCCTAAAGAGTGTGGACAACAGCTGCAAGAATTAGTCTATTAATCGAGTTGTTTTATCGACAAAATTCATTGCCAACTATTTTTTGTGATTCACTGTTTTTAGATATTTTCCAAGCAAAAATTCCTCTTAAAGCTTCTAAAATCTGAGGATTTGTTGTATTTCTTTCGCACTATTTGAAAGTAAACGAAATATTTTTAGGTTTTGGACTGAAGGAAACAGCTATTTTCTGACATTTAATAAACAATATGATTAATCGAGTTCCATGAAGAAATAATTTTCCGTTCGATGTGGAGTAACTGACCTCAACCTCATGAAACACCTTTATAGCCACACCTCATCACTCACCGTCAGCTGGAGCAGAGGAGTGGAGGCCGTTGTAGCAGCAGATTAACGCCCATTTTTTTGGAATGAGATCCCAAACAGTCACACGTGGGTGTTATGTTCAGGTGTCACGGTATTTCTGGCCATGCAGTGCAGCTCATTAGGAGCGATCTGACTTTCCATCTCATTGTAATTTTAGCCGAACACGACAGATTCGAATTCCTCTAGAGAAAGTGCCTCTGCTCATTTCACCTCGTTTCCATCCCACATTTGCTCTTGTTGACATCTTGAACTTTTCAAGCACAAGTTACAGCTTGAAAGCAGATGTCAACATGTGTTGACAATGTTTTTTTTTGCCATATCTACAAACCTTTTAACATTTAGTTTTCAGTGCAGACGGTTTGTGTTCTCACACCTGTCTGAGCAAACCAAACAAAAAGAGGAAACGTTCCCGAGTTTAAAACAACTGTTTTGACCACGCTTGGTGTGAGAGAGTGACCTCAGCTCAACCCCGCCGACGCACGAGTATAAACCACTGCATCACAGAGGAGTCACCCGGCGTCATGTGACGATAACATCTGTTTGAAGCTCATCAGTGTGTGACGGCTGCTCTAATAGGCAGCAGTACAGTGTGTGTCCTCAGCAACCCCTGCCACATTTCATCTCTGTCGACTAACTGGGTTAATTTCACGGTCTGATGAGCAGACAGAGGCAGGTTGGCAAACTTAGTGTGGTCACTGGAGACTTTAAAGGCTGTGTGTGTGTGTGTGTGTGTTTGTGTTTGGAGGAGGATGAAGCAGTTGTGGGTGTTCGCCTGGCATTCCCTCGCCCATCGTGACTGGAGTGGTCGGACTCCTACAATTAAGCGATGACTCACACAAAGTGATGGCACGACTCGTCACTGCTGCCCCGGCTGGGAGGCAGAAATCTGTCGCCCTCTGTGGAGGACGGCCACAACTTTCAGGAACACTTGTGTAACTCGTGTGTCAAAGCGGTGATACATGAGGTCCTCATCTGTTTGTTTTTTCTTGCCCAGGATTCATTGCTGTGGTATTTGGCCTGTCAGTCAAACACCGTGGGTGGCACAGTGAAGTATTGTTTCCTTTGTAGTTTGACTCTCTGTAGGTTACTCACCAAAACCAAACCACATTTAAAGCTTTTATTTTAAGGAATAGTTCAACATTTTGAGAAATACACTTACAGAGAGTTAGATTAGAAGACTGATATCACTTCCTGTTTTTATGGCAAATATTTAGCTGGATTTAGCCAGTTAGCTTAACCCTACCAAAGGATTTTGAAAAGGCTCTTAAAAAGACTAAAGTCTGACACCCTTTCACATCTAAAGAAAAAGTGTCGTCAGAGTTTTTAGTCTAGATTTAAGACAGGGTATCTTGCAGGGTCACTGTTCGCAAGACTAGATTCCTTTGAGATTATTTCCCATCATGCACACTTCCTGTTTGGTGCTAGAGGATTTGTAGAGGATTGTATTTGCATGAGCCAAGACTAAAAACTTGGGATGATATTAAAAATGTTTGATTTTATCGAGATGACAGGAACGCACAACACAACTCTTGCAAAGCTCTCATGATTTTATTCCGTCATTGGAAATTTGTCTGTGAAATTGCTTGAAAAGTTGTTTGGTGAAAGGCCAGCATTAGCTTAGCATAATGAGGCTAGCATGGCTCTGTCTAAAGGTACCAAAGTTCATATACCAGCATCTCTAAAACTCACAATTCATTAAATATCTTGTGTATTTAACTTGTACAAAAAAATTGTGTAAATTATATTTGTGTAAGTGTAAAAATGTTATGGGGGTGTTTTGTGACAGGCTATTTCTTGGCCAGGACTAGCAGCTTCCTGGAGTCTGTGCTGGCTGCCTGGCAAACAGTCAGACACATAATCCCTGTAACACAGCGAATCGTTCGTACAAAGTTGTTTTTCCACTTTGGTTTTGATATGGATCAAACAAACTAGATATAGCATGTTAATTGGTGAGCTCTGGGGTTGCTGGTTGCCAGGTTTTGGGACCAGCTGTTAGGACCAAGCAAACCAGTTGCTGTCAGTAGCTTCGTATTTAATGGGCAGACATGAGAATGGGATTAAATCTTTCACCTAACTCCTAACTCGAAGAAGCAAATAAGTGTGTTTCTGAACTGGCTATAAATTGAATCACTATTTGCTGTCAGCATTTGTAATATCCACTGTATGTACGGGGCTTTATTTAGGTTTTGAGGGCAGCCATTGTTGCCTGCTTTCTGACTTCGCTGCCACTAAATTACAACACAGGTTACTAACTCTCCCCTCTCTCCTCTTTAGGCTCCAATGAGCGGCTCTTCATGATGAGGAGCTAACGCTGTCGGCCGCACAACCGCAGGAAGAGACGTGGCTGCTGCACCATCCACAGTCGACGCATGGCGGTATTAGGGGTAAGAACCACCCACAGAGTTCCTGTTGGTGCTTTCATAGCCTCCAAAACAAAAGGAAAATGAGTTACCAACACTTTGAGCCATTTAATGGACATGGGTCAATAACTGTGTTTTGTGTCTCTCTGGTGCTGGTAGACGTGGTCTTGGGGTAAACTTCAGTAAAGAATTTCCTGTTTATCATTACGTGGATCCCAAATATTGATGCTGTAGCATAGCAGTGTGTTACTTAAGAATCATAATTGAGTTAATAAGAGAGAAACAAAAGTTTAACATTTGAATTTAGCTTGATAAATACTGATTTTAGAAGCTGAAACTACACCACTCCAATGTCCAGAGCTTTTCAATTTAAAAAACGAACTAAAAGATTTGTATCTCGTCCATCTACAAAGATAAAGATCATAACATCTGCATTCATCAGGTGTCTTTATCTTCTTTGTATCTACCTCAGTGTCCAGTTTTAGCAATCAGTGTGGTTTTTCAGAACCCGTTGGAGCCTCGACAATGATGGATGTTGGCTGTCTCAGTGTCTTATTCACCGGACACAACCATCCATTATCTGAACTGTTAGCCGGGTGTAATTTCACATCTGATCATTTGGCTGCGAGACAGTGGTCAGTTACTGTGTGTTCACTCCACTGGAAACCTGGGTTATGTGTCGTCTCTGTGGGGAACACGTGTATAATAATCGCATCTTATTGTTAAATGAGCTAAACTGAAACATTAAAATTGACCTCCGAGTCTTTTGTGTCAAAGCTGCTCTGAAATCCAGAGAAAACAAACTAGTTAAAGAAGAGTTGATTTGACGGATGGTGGAGACGGAGACAGTCACTTCTAGAGAAAGACGGGTAGAAATAAAACACCAATAAATTAAATTAATGGTCTGATAAACATCTTTGGAGTCCTGGAGTCAGACCACGGCCGGAGCCAGGCAGCTGAGCCGTCTCCTCGGGGTGTCTGAGCCGATACTGAAAGTTCACCTCCACCGTCATCAAAAGAAAAGTTCTGTTTAAAAACACAGCTCAGACGTTCTTATTGAATTTTTTTAAAGTTGTCCCTGCCAGAGATGAACAGAAAGGCCATAAACAACAGTCTGGTGTCGGGTTATGAGGGTGATGCTTTTTAAAGCGTGACATTTTTGGACATCTGTGACCTTTAATACTCACTGATTTCATCCAGTCACCTGAGATCTTTAGGCACAGCCAGCAGCTCCATGATGACTGACTGTTACCTCTAAATCAGTTTGTTCCTCCACTGGTTCATCACAAGATTTTAGTACTTTCTCATTTTATGTATTTTTTTTTATCTTGTATATAAAAAATCTGTGTAAAAATGATGATGACGACGCAAGAATTTGTGGAGTGGATTTAAATACATCCAAAAAACTGAAGTAATCATAATCTCACCCAAGCACATGAACAGTCATTCATGACATACAGTACACAACAAACCTGTGTAATGTGCAATATCAGTAAAATGTTAAATGATTCATATCACATTTGTATTATTAAAAATAAACAGCTTAGATAGACCACACTGCGAAACTGAGCACACTTGTGATTTCCAGTTAATGCCAATTCCATGAACAAGGAACAGAAATAACCCATGACCACCACGGCTTTCTCAGTTTTGGTTTTGCCTAATGCAACATGGCTCCACATGGTGAGGAACTGCCTGAGTAAAGCAGAGTGTGAGACTTCATGAAGACAGAGAGGGAACGAGAGCATCAGTGAGCCGCTGAGCATGAGCTGAGACACAGTTGCAGCAGCGGTTAGAACGTATAAGAAGAGTCATACTATTGACACAATCTCGCATTGAAAAACACAGTTAACTGCTTATGACTTGACACAAGTCCTTGAATTTTAATTGAAAGACTATTGGAGACTGCTGGACTTCTGCTACCACCCAGGGGTGCCCCGTTTCATTTAAGTGCTATGTGGGCACAAGAAGAGCTGCAACGAGTAGTCTATTCATCAATTCATCAATCGACAGAAAATTAACCTGTAACTATTTTGATAATCAATTTATTGTTTCAGTCATTTTTTTAAAACAAAATTTCACTATTAATTTCACTATTCTCATAGACTTGATGATTAATTTAGAATATATTTGGCAGCGTAATCAATAATGAAAATATACTTTAGTTGCAGTCCTTGGCACAAGTCTTCCTCATGTCAGTTTATAATGCGATTTAGTGGTGAATACAAAAGTAAGAAATTTGCAGTTAATTCTTACCTGTCAGTTAATTATGAGCAATAACAAGCTCACATTTATCATAAACAGAAACCAGTTGCCTCGAGGTAAACCTGGAGTCACCTGGGCTCCTGAGGGTTTGGGGCCCCCGGTCATTGTTCAGTGTCACTTGAAGGATTCCTCTCTTGTTGATTTGTGTTTTCAGTCAGTGTCTCCTGTTAATGCACCTGTGTCTGAGCCTGTTATTTTGTATGATGAACTTATTTTTCAATGAATCGTTTCATCTTTAAAATAACCAGAAAACAGTAAAAAAGAATTACAGTTATGATTTCCCACTGACCAAAGTGACATCTTCAGCTTCTTCTTGTTCAAAACCCAAAGCTGTTCAGTTTACTGTCATGTGTGACAAAGAAAAGCATCAAATCCTCACATTTCTTAAGTTTGAAACAACAAATATTTTACATTTTCGCCTAAAAAGTGACTCACATTATTATTTGATTATCAAAATAGTTGCATTCTGTGTTGATCCACTAATTGATTAATCGTTGCAGTTCTAGTGTATGAGTTTGTCAAGTTGTAGGTGTAAGAGCGTGTACAGTATGAATTAATTGGTATTTATCTGTGACCTGTAGAACATCAACAGTGGACTGGGAGGAAACGCAGTTAACAAAATCAGCACTTTTGGTTGTAACCTCAGAGTCTCCACCTCCTGTTGACAGACCCTCCGCACATGGGCTGAGTTTCTGTGTTTGCTCAGCTCGGTGAGAACTGAGTGGACTCCCGCTGACTTGAAATCACAGTTAGTCATTCACTTACTCAACATGCTTTAGCTTCTGTAAAGCAAATCACCGCTTTCAGCATCACGCGCCTCTTTCAAAGCATGAATCACCAGCCGAGCTGCCTGCCGCAGCCTGTTCTCCACGCTCGTCAGACTGTGATGGAGCAGGTATGCGTTCAGCTCAGGACTCATTGTATCACAGCTCACGGTCTCCACCTGTGGTTTGAAATTGGCAATGAGGCGTCACTGCAGACAGTAAATGACTACTACCTGCCCTCTATCAGTGATTTTGTCTCGGGTAAGAGTCAGAGTAGAGAGCAGAGCCGTGATGAAGCGGCAGCATCAAACAGTCCACCAGTGCTGCAGTATAGACTCTTAAAAGTTTTCTTCAAAGAGGCTCAGAAGCAGAGGGTGAAGACACCGGAGATGCAGCAGCTGTGTTTGGCATAAAAGCAGGAGTGAAAGCTAAGTAGCTCCCTGAGCGCAATGAGAAGGGGCGTAGGAAACAATGAAGCTGCGCTGGCTGACATTAAACACTGCAGTAATATTCCTTGTTGTGATGATGAGTATATTACTGCTGCTGGCAGGATTGTACCTGCTGTGGCTTTTGTTTAATGGCGATATTGCCTGCGGTCTGACATATATACATGTTTAGAGGTGAAGTGACTTGTTAAACTGGTTTATAATGTCCAGTGCGTTTGATTAACCTTCATATAATTAAGGGATATATCTTATATTTGGTGGAGTTGTGACAGTCTGTGCCTGGTGCACTCACATGGGGCTGCAGGTAACGACTATAGTAATAATCAGTTAATCTGCAGTTTATTTTGGGTTCTATATTAAGGACAGGATGACGTCAGGACCTCTTTAACTTTGTGATGTCACGACAAAGCCATCACTGCTCTGAGCCATGCCACAAGCCCCGCCCACCTGGACCCACCATCTAACCTTGCAGGATTTGGTTTCTCTGAGTGTTTATGTGAAATCTGCTAAATTTCAAAACAGAAAACAGGTCCGACCTGTTGTTACTACAGCTCCAGAGAGGAGCCTGAGAGAGGAGATGTAAAACTACACTGAGATGGTTTTTGATTCTTAAAACCACAAATATATCTTCTTATGGATCAACACTTCAAATAAAACACAGGAGAAGTGGAAAATATGGAGCTTTAAAATGTAAGAAAATAGTGACAAAATGTCCATCGCAGTTTCTCAGTCTTTGTCAGACAAACATACATTTCTGTTTACAGTGACAAAAAAGAGAAAATCTGCGAACCTAAGAGGCTGGAACATGAGAATATTTGAAAAATTACTGAAACGATAAATCGATCATCATAATAGATGTCTAGTCCACAGGTCACTTAGTAGGTGGACCAGGTCCAGATCCTGACCCAGACGTATAAGCCATAAATTATTGAGAGTTTAGTCTCGTCGTAGAGACAACGTAAGAGAAAAAAGTGGGGAAAGAAAAAGAAAAGATCGTGTTAACGTTCAGTTGTTAAGACGTGAGATGATTTGGTTGACTGTTCAACTGCTGGAGTTGACCATGAGGAAGAAAAATGGAAAGACAAGCTTTTACTCAAGCAATTTATTGTGTCCCCGACCAAAGTTTTAGCTTTAGGAAATTTTGGACCTCTTTGAGTTTTAATTGAATACCCCTGATGAAATGCGGCTATATTAAGTTAAGCTACAATTAAAAACCATTAAAGATTTTAATATTTGGTTTCTTACCGTCCTTGTGGCCACATGTTGCAACCTGCTCACTGCGTTTTCAGAAATGGTTTTGACCTCCTTTATTTTCACATCTGTGACGTTACGCAACGTACAGTTTAGCCTTTTGGCTGTAATTGTAGAGCAGTGAGCGAACAGGAAGTGGTGCATTGTGATGTCTGCAGACTTCAGTGGGACAATTAAGCCACTGCAAAGATTAGACCTGCAGCCTTCTGGTGACGTGGTTACAACTCTACCTTCATGTCAGTCTCCCAGTCAAACAGTGAACCTGTGACCTTCCTTTAAAATAACGTCAAAAAAGAAACAATATAAGTTAATATATTGTTAATATATAAGTTGTAGATGAACAATAATTTAATAAAGAGGGGGAAAACCAAATATTTCCATGTGGCACCTTCTTAGTGTTTGCATATAAATAAAGGCAAATAACAGAATAGTTTATGGTCTTTTGGATTCTCTTTATATCCCTTTACTCATAGATAATGTTAGAAAATAGTTTCTGAATTTTTCTTTATGACATTAAGAAATATCCACAAAAAAATGTCACCTTCAGGTTTTGTAGAAGCATTTGCAAAATAAACTATTATTAGTTATATGTTGTTATTATTAGGACATGTAAATGTGTACATACTTAATGTTAAAGGTGTATTGTTGAATTCCAATATCCGAGTCTGCTCAGATTGTTTCTACACGGCCTGTATATTACTCTGCTTCTACTTGTCTTAATGTTTTTTTCTTCTTCTTTCTCCCCTCAGAACCCCGACATGCTGACGAGGAAGATAAAGCTGTGTCACATCAACGCCCACATCACATGTCGTCTGTGTGAGGGCTACCTGATCGACGCCACCACCGTCACCGAGTGCTTACACACCTGTAGGTCCCTCCTCACACAGCGGCTCCCCTCTCTCTGCGTCCTCACCTCATCTCATCTGTTGTCTTCCAGCCTTTGTTGCGAATTCTCTTGTTTCTCATCAGTTTTCTTGTTTATTCGGCGCACACTTGGCTGCATTTGTCTCCCTGGGTTATCTCGGCTCAGGAGGTGTTGCCTCCAGGATTTATCCTCAATGGGAAGAATCCTGGAGGCAGAGCGATTCCTCTGTGATCCGTGCAGCTCTGTTCCTAGCTGCTCTTTGACTTAAAGCACTGCCTTCAGTCTGTGAAGTCTGCTTCACCACCACATATGAGGGCCTTCATCTGTCTGTAGCTCTGGCTGTATGTGCACTACAGTTGTGTGTGTGTGTGTGTGTGTGTGTGTGTGTGTGGGAGTTTTAGACTTTTCAACCTAGAACTTGATGTTTCTTTCCTTTTCTATTTCTGTACAGCAAAGTCTCCCCCATAACTTCATTATAAAGTTCTCTCTCAGGTGAACAAACAGTCACTGATATTTAATCTGCACTTTCATTATCCGTCAGATGAAGGTGCTTCATCATTAGCTGGGTCTTAGGAAATACATTGCTGAATTACAATGGCTGTAATTCCTGTAGCCTAAAAGCTGATTGCATGAAGAATCTTTAGAGTTAAAAATACACAGTCTTTTCTTTAGTAGAAGAAGAATTTCATGAAATCTGTTAACAGTTGCACAAGCACCCGAAAGAGGGTAAAAATCTTATTAAAAAGTGTTTTTATTATGCAAAACCATCTCGTCCTCAGTCAAGTTTAATCCCTCTTTGTTGCTGATGTTCAGTTAAGATTTATTCAGTGTAATTATAACATTTTCTGCACGTATGAGTGCAGTCTCAACAAAGTTAACTTGACTAATTGGCTGTCAGTTATTACCATGTAGTTTCAGAGACAAAATGACTCCTGTTCTGTCATTATAACCAATTTAGAATATTTACACTGGGTGTGGGATTGACTGTTAAGATCCTTACTGTAATTCTCTTCCAAGACGTGTGAGACGTTTGTGCAACTGCCCACATATTCTTTTCTTTCTGGCTGGTTCAACAGAGGACAGGCAGCTGTGGACTTAAATATTAAATGTTCTTAAATTTTGTAGACAGATTTTAATTGGGTTAAATTGGATTTCTTGATGTTTGTTGCGGCAGTTTAAATCCCATCTCATTGCACTCATTGTTTTCTATTCTGACTCTTCTGAAAACTCCTTTTGTAAGTTATTTTTTTGGTCATTTTATGCCTTTATTAGATAGAACCAGTAGAGAGAGAGAGAGAGAGAGAGAGAGGAAGTTCAGGGAGAGAGTAGGAGAATGACATGCAGCAAATGGTTCGGCCGGCTTTTTTCTTTCTTTTTTTTACTTTTTTTTACTGCTAAAAAAAATTCAAAGTTACCTATTTTCTTTATAGCTGTGTCCAGAATTAAGAACTTTACTAATTATTTCAGTGAGTAGAGACTCACTAAAGGGAGTTGTAGAAACTTTTCACAGTAAATCTGTTGCTGAAATATCTCTGCTCTTACTGCTAACACTGGTAGAGAAGGACAGTAAACCTGCAGTGTAGTAGTGATATTGTTGGACAAACTGCCCAATATATTATTGTATTATTGTATTTTATATTTCAGGTGTAATTGATGCTGCCACTAAACAGCAGTTCAAAGTTTTATTTGTCACAGGCCAAGGTGCAAGGCGCAGTAAGCCGAGCAGTGAAAGGCCTGCAGGGCAGCTCTGTCTTTAACAGACTGCTCAGGTCGCTGTTTGACATCGGTGACAAGCCGTGTGGAAAACCACCAGATATGATAGTCAAACAGAGCTCGTACAGCTGTTGTGGTCGTGTGCTTTATGATGCATGGAAATAGTTTGCACCGACGCAGAAATGATAACGCGTTCTGTTCTCTGTGTTAAACGCAGACAGGCTGTGCCCATAAACCATCAGTAATGAATACGTTTTCATACTGTAAGCAAACAAATCCTACATTCTTCAAAAGGGAGAAAGAGAGAAATAAAAATGATTTAACACTGGGCTTCAGTTCAAAAATGAAAACTCATAAACAACACATGGATCTGTTTTCTGAAGCTGTGAGTTATTATTTGGAATATGAACATGATTAACAATTAAAAGTGTTTTTGATGGGTTTGAACAGTTGAATAAACAAGCACTTTGGTTGTGAATTCTGATTAGTGAGCAAGAGATTGAAGGCTGTCCCGCAGTTGGACTCGAGTCGCTCTGTGTTTTGGTTTCTAATTATCCTTAAGTATGAATGAGTATATTCTTCATACAGCATTTTTCAAAGCAGAAGTTACAAAGCACTTTGCAGGAGGAGGAAAAGACGAAGAGGAAATGAACGAGTTAAGCATGACAGTGAATGAAAAAGAAAAGATTTTGATAATGATTTTTATTTTTCTGTTCCAACAAGCTTTGAAAAGGACGTTACAGTAGTTGAGGTTTGATGTATAAATTTTTTCAGTGTTTCTCAGCTGGAAAAAAGGAAGAACTGAACCAGTCACCCTTCACATGGGATCCAGAATTACCTTTTTAGTTTTGCGTTGGATTGACGTTTACACAATTAGATTTGAGTAATTGGTACATAACAGTATCTGGGCCCCCAAACAAGCTGCCAGCTTTTCAAACTGTTACACTACAGAAAATGTAGAAATGCAGCTGTGGACCATCTGAGAGCTGCCTGGCACTTTCATTGCTCTTGCGAAATACGTTTTAGGGCAGTGCTTCCTCTTTGATTCCTCAACCACCCAGCCAGATATTTCCTGTATAACCAACAAGGCCTCATCGTGCCTCAGTTTTTCTGAAAGCATCGTGTGCTCGGTCAGAGATTGATGAGCCTCTATAGACAAAGTATGATGGCGTCTTTTTCCACTGCCTGCTGAAGTGAAAAGAAAAGTAGCATGACCTTGAAAATATCTGTTTTGAAATGCGTTTGGGGGGGGGGGGTCACTGAGTTGAGCCTGATTACCACATCTGCAAGCACCCAAGTGCCCTTTAATTCTCACATGAGATGTGGTTAGAGGGCAGAGGCATCAAGCCAGATGCTGGTGGTTTTGACAAGTACACAGCTGATATTTAGAGGTTCTTGTTGTGAAATCATAATTGTCTGCTGCTGCAGAATAATGAAGGGGATCTGTGGAGCTTTGAGCCTGAGGGCGATCTTGCTGCTGCTGTGTTTTGAGCAGTTTAATCGAACTCGACGTGTTTATTCCTCGTGCAGCTGCGTTCGATGTTTGGGTTTGGTGAGAATAATCAAAGCAAATTGTAGCAGGGACCAATCAGTCGCTCTGTGGTTCTCCTGGAGCAGAGGGAAGGGGAAACTTTGTGTATATGTAAATTGTATTAGTTATGTTCATAGTCGCGCCATTAGGTAGTTTTTAGTTTAGAGATTTGCTACAATCACAGGAGATACAAGGTGGAAACAAGTGTTGTATGAAGAAGAGTTCTTTAAATTGCAGAACATTGATAATGCATCTCTGATGGAGAAGGTATTTAATAAGTGTAAATATGACTGGGAAAATAAGATTTGGACTAAACCACAGTTTGTTTTTTTAATCGATTTAAAGAAAAGAAGATCTGTTTGTGCCCATATAAGAGCCGGTGTACTGCCTCTTCTCACTGAAACAGGTCGGTACCTTGTTTGGAAGTGGAATTCGTCCAGTGTATGATTTAAGGGAAGTTGAAAACAAGTACCATTTAGTTTTTTTTGTTTGTTTTTTTCCATTTACTGAAGGCAATTCCAGCTGACATTGGGCGAGGGCCGGGTACACCCTGGACATTTCACCAGTCTATCAAAGGGCAGACATATAGAGACAAACAATCATTTGCACTCACATGCAGGTTAATCGGCGAATTGCCCGCAGGTGTGAATGTGTGGGCTGTGGGAGGAAGCCAGAGTACCCAGAGGAAAACCCAGGCAGTCACGAGGAGAACATGCAAACTCCACCGAGTCTGCACTGGAAACCCTGACATGTCTGAGATGATGGGTACGAATGATTCACAATGGTTGAAATAGTTGTTTGAAAAAGAGAAGTTTAAATAAGCATCTTATTTAAGGAATACGTGACAGTTCAGGAACAGAACACTGAACAGATGATGATGATGCTGATGTATTCATACATCTGTTTTTCTTTATCAGTGAATATCTGACCAGCCTGCAGGAACAGGTGTAGTGTTAGTGTTTGATGTGAATGTGTCTTATAATACCATGATGGCATGGTATATTCAGTTCAGTTCATAAAATTCACTCCATTCAATCATCCCATGCCTTCCTGTGAGATGAACCCAGACAGTGTAATACGGCATCTGTCCACTCGAGGGAGCTCTTCGACCGCAGGTGGGAGTGTAGACGAGTCGCTTTGATTCTCCCACTCCCCCTTGGAAAAAAAAAGAAAAGGGGGCTCCACCGAACAAAGACAAAGAGATTCACATCACATCAGCGCTGCAGCTTCTCTGCAGTAAAAAAAAAAAAAAAAAGTCAGGTGGAAATGGATTTGTTGGAGAATCATGTGCAGTGAATTAGTGGTGGTTTATTTAGTGCATCTTAACGTGCACACGACGGGGGTTCATAAACCTGTCATCGAGCGATCAGATCATTCATCACAAGTCGCTCTGTCATTGCAACTTTCTTTGCGTCTGTTTCAACATCAACTTGTATTTTTCTTTCCTACAGCAAAACGTACGTTACTGTCCCTTCGTTTAGTCACAGCGAAACGTGTCATCTAAAACAGCTGTCTGAAAACATACCTACAACTGGATTCATTTATACACGTGTAGGTTGGAGAGTAACCACATGTCCTGTGTGTGTCTGTGTCTCTGTGTCTCTCTCTCTCTCTCTCTCTCTCCAGTCTGTAGAAGTTGCCTAGTGAAGTATCTGGAGGAAAACAACACGTGCCCCACGTGTAGGATTGTTATTCATCAGAGCCATCCACTGCAGTACATCGGGTGAGTGAGGGAAGAGCTTCTCCCACACACACAAACACACAAACAAACACACACACACACACACACACACACACACACACACACACACACACACACACACACACACACACACACACACACACACACACACACACACACACACAGGTACAGTGAGCTGCTGTCTTTCAGTTACACACTCTTCTCTATCTACACTACCCTCCTCCTCTCTTGAGGTTTTTTTCTGAATCCTTCACTCACAAACATTTACTACACACACACACACACACACACGCACACACACGCACACACACGCACACACACTGACATGTCGACGGAGCTCCATCACTGTGCAGGGAGCTGCTCGCTGCCTCTGGGGGCATCAGCAGTGCACTGGCAGTAAACAATAAACTACCAAGGAGCAAAGTGCTGCTGGCCCTTTTCCATTTTATTTTTATTCTTCTGCAGAAAGAAAAGACCCTGGACCTCTGTGGCCGCTCTGCTTAGAGTGGTCTCTATTTCTGTGTGTTTATGTATATATATCTTATAAAGATATATATATATAAAGATTCACTGAATAAATTAGTGCTACAAACGATGCACTTATAACCCGAGCTCATTTACAATTCAGTTTCCTACATGAATTAAAAAATGTACAGTATGCATCGAAAAAAGTAGTATATACAGGTATTGAGAGCATAAGCAATAATAAAAGACTACACTGGATCACATGTTGGCATACCATATACTGTATACTGCCTTTTTGGCCAGGTCTCTCTCCTGTAAAAGAAACCATTTTCCGGATATAAATAAGACCTTATAATATTAATATATCATAGCTTAGATAAACTGAGCACAGTCGCCATAACTACTGACAGCTGGTCACCACTGCCGGTAGTGTTGACCCATATGCCTGATAGCATTATGATACTGCAGTGAACCTCAGCAAACCCAACTGCAAAATGCTTAAAAAATATAACACCAGAACTGTTTAAAACCAGCTGCAAATCCTTCCCTTCAAAATAATCGACCACTTAAAGTGAAAAATAAAAGTGGCCTTCTCTGTGCTTTTCTTGTCGACTTGGCACACACAGACCTCATCCACAATAGTATGCATCAGCTAATTTGAACAATGAGCTTCGTGAACTGATTCCCTCTTCAGGTTAAAGTGAAGAGGCGTTTTAGAAGTCAAGTCTTCTTCTTGTTGTTGTTGGGGAGCCCCACGCTGCCAGACTAGATCCTGCTCCGCGTGGGGCCGTGTTGTTCTTACCCCCTGTGAGTGCTCACGCATTAATGTCCGATTAATACGACACACAGACTTAATGTGCGCCTGCAATTTAGTCATTACCATGTTAACTGTGCTGTCTGCAGACTCGTTGTTTTTGCAGGAAATGCTCCATTTCAAACACATTAGCTCTTTGCGCAGCTGTTTTGTTTTTTTGTTTGTTGTTGTTGTTGTTGTTTTGTTTTTTTTTGCCTCACTGTGTGTAGGGAATTGGAGTTGATTGGAAACATCACAAGTGATTTGAAGGCAAAAACGCCCCAACAGATGACAGATAATTCCCATCTGCACATCAGGAAGATTGATCAAAGTTGATGTTGGAAGAAGTCACACTCAGACATCTTCCTCTCAGAGAATCAGCTCGACAGAACTAATCCCTCCACTCTCACTGTCAAGTGTGGCTTTCCTTGATGGTTTTAATCCATTTTATTTACACATGCTTGAAATGATTCTGACAATAAGACCATCACAGAATCAGACTGCATACTCTGCCACATGAGCTAATTCCCTTCCCAGTTATTTATTTTTATTTTTTTCCCCCAAATATAGGATGCAAATTAGTATGAAGTTCATTTTTATTATGACCTCAAAGGGTTGTTTTTTCTTTTTTTAGATGTATAGAGTAGAGACAAGGAAGCTTAGAGGGACGTGGATGAAGATCTCGAGAGGGATTTAAACTCAGTGTTATGGAAACCAGAAGATGTATTAATAGACAGTCTTGCCAACAGTGGCTGGAAGTAGTTGCAGTTTCTCTTCTGTAGTTGTATGTGAATTTTATTTTGGGACTTTTTCCAGAATTTTTCCAGAATTTTTCCAAATTCTGGAACCAGGGTATATTTACTTTGCGGAAAGTGATGTAATATTAACAATCTTACAGCACTTTTTCCATTTATCAATTGCTTAGTCTCGTTGAGATTAAAATTTAAAAGAGACCTGTCCAAAAAGGCAGAATCCAAAAACAGTGTTTAAACAATAAAGATATCAGATGAGTTGTGAGAACACAAGAGTTCAAAAGAGATCAGTCAGTCAAAATACTTTATACTTGTGGGCAGTTGCTGTACTTTTAGAAAGCATGTGGTATAATTACAACAGTTGTGTCTTAATTGTAATTTCTGTTACATTATTACACAGCAGATCTCGGTGCCGCGCTCGTCTGTGAGAGTGTAATGCCAGTTCCATCCAGCAGGGGTCAGTGTTTTGCTGCTTTTCGGAGCGGGCCTCCTCATCCAGGCCCTGGATACAGTGGCTCTGTCACTCTCCCAGCAGACAGCAGGGGAGGAACAAACACGTCACGTTTTTTTTTTTTTTTCGGGGGGCTTTTCCTCCACAGCGCTGTAACAAACTCAGTGTGTCGTGTCCGTTAGCCGGCTGCTGCGGCCGCTTGTCAAAACGCACCGTCATGGTGATGGCAGACCAGAGCCCACACTGTGCACCTGTGACACCTGCACTGCCTGACAGGGGAAAGACTATTTAACACTCTGACTGACGGAGCATATGCTGTTACTCCGGCCTCTGAGGGCTGCTGCCATTTGTCAGTTTGTTATAACACATTAGATTTTTCTCCATAAATGACGTCTTGAGAATACAGTTTTTCACAGTTTTGGGATGCTCAGAGTTGTACTGTGTGTATCAGTGGTTCCCAGCCATCATCACATGTGCATTTATTTGCAAGTAAAACGGCAATAATTAGAGGAAAGTCTGAAAAAATAAGCAACAAATCTGTAGAAATTTCGTTTTCTGCACTTTTATCCTGTTGATCAAATCACGACCCCTGCGACTAATCCCGTGACCCCTGGGTGGGGTCGGACCCTCGGGTTGGGATGCAATACCAAGAGCATCACTAATATTTCAGATGTGTGATTCACATCTTTGTGTGTAAAATTCAGGTGCTGTTGTGGCCATAATGTCAAATCTCAATAACTAATAAGTTACCTAATTATTGTCTCGTTCTTTTTAGCCATGACAGAACAATGCAAGACATTGTCTACAAGCTGGTACCGGGACTTCAAGAGGGTAAGTGGTCATGTATTGTCTTTCTTTATGATGCAGCCCAGAAGAGATCCATCTAATAACCTTAAAACTGAAGCTCTCATTGTGCCTCGCTAATGTCCGACATCACTGTCTGCATGCGTTGACAAATTGGCTTGGCATCGCTGAATAACTCATATATTTTAACAAGATATTCTTTCCGTCATGGGTGAACCGAGACGGCCTAATGAAACAGGTTGCGGTGCACGCACACAATCACTCACATCATTGAATTTTAAAAGCCTGGTGGTGGCAGTAACCTTGAGGAAAAAGACGCTGCCCTCTCTTATTGTTTCCGTTTCTCTCTCTCTCTCCCTCTTGTGCAGCGGAGATAAAGAAGCAGAGGGAGTTTTATCAGAAGTTGGGGATGGAGGTGCCTGGAGACATAAAAGGAGAGCTGTGCAACATGAAGACTCATCTAGATCAGCGCAACGGTATGAACCGCACCGCACGTTGTTCTTTCCTCGCATTACTGTCGTGAAAAAAGACAAACACAACAGTGATTGCAGTGACTATTTTAAACTGTAACACAACCAGACTTTCATCTCTGGAGTGGTGACATCCTCCAGCTGGTGGCGGGAGTCAGCGGTTGGTTCTGTCTGGTTGAATATGCAAATTGTTTTAGCGCCTGCTGAGTCTTGGTTTTAGCAGCTGACCGACCAGGTTGTCCCTCGTTCAACACGACCTTAAGGTGGCACCAACAGACATGCAGGGCCTCAGCGTGCCAAAAGGTCTTGTTTACCTTTTATTATCAGGTATGACTTACTTGTTGGAAGACTTACAAATGGCAGGAGAGGTCGACGAAGAAACAAAGAAACAAAAAAACACAAACTGTTGGTGGTCCCACAAATGAATGCACCATCCACGTGGTGCCAGATTCACACACTAATAGAAGCTGCTTCAGTTAAAGACATTGCTGTGTTCACATTTATGTAAATTCACCCTAGATCTATGTTATTTGTTTTTTTTTTAAGGTTATGTTTTTCATTTAGTTGAGCTCATTGAAGCTGGATTTACACTTGACTTGAGGAATTATGAGCAAGTTTTTATAGTTTTATAATTCAGCAGCATTTTTTTTTTTTTACCAGTTGATAGCACCCACTGCAACAGATGTATCATCCTTTAATTATATTCACTCCCACAGCAGCTGAATTTCATTCTTTGATTCACTGTGATGCAGAGCGGCGATGGCAGTGAAGTGCAGGTCTGTTAGATTTGTGTTACTGAACAGGAGACGATTACTGAGCCTTTTAAACGGACTATTGTTGTGTTTAGGCTCAACAGTCTCCACCAGCATCAGACACTTGAAGGAGGAAACACAGGCAGCTCAAGCTGACCAATCGGATCACGTAGTATCTCTGTTCACACACATGCAGCTACGGCACAGCCTGACATAGCTGCAGAGCTTATTGATATAATCTTAACCCCTTAACACACAACTATAAATCAGATTAATCCTCTGGAGTAAGCGGAGTCTTTAAACTTTGATTCATACAGAGGCATCAACCAGAGACTGGTTCATGTGGTTTTATAATATGGGTGGGGGCACTTGCACCAAACTTGAACCATGAGCTACTGAACAATTTCCAAAAGACAGCACAACAATGTAAAAACACTGAACTGCTAACATTGTTTTCCAGACAAACTTCATCTCAGCACCGTGACTGTCTCGCTCCTCTCATAGTCCTGTACTAAGAACGAAGCCCCCAAAACCCGTAATGAGTAACATTAGCAGCACGGCCATGAGTAACAGTGGAAGCCATTAAGCAGTAGCGATGAAGGCAATTTAGCTGTCCAGAATGAGTCCCTGGCCCTGCTTGTTTTGCACGACGGATTTTCCAAACCAGTTCGCTTCCGAGGGCTGGGCTGGTGTAAATGTGTGCCCAGAGGGCTGTCATGCTGGCAGGCCTAATCGCTCGCTTAATCCCCCCCCTCTCTGATTTTGGTAATTAAGGCTCAAATGGAAGTGGAAGTGCTCTCCGGCTTCCTGTGCCTCTTCGCTTGAAGTCAGGTTTAGCTACAGTACACACAGACGTACACTTAAAGGATCATTTGCACAGATACCAACAGAAATAGAATTGAGATTATAGATTGTGTGTTGAAACGCATACAAATGTCTCCAGCCTTGGGTAGTGACAAAAATATTTTTTTTGACTTTTTTTGAAACGAGAAGATTTGAAGAAAATCAAATGTGGTTGCTTGTCATTTGGAGGCTGGTTGACCAGGACCTCAGTGAAGTGGAAAGTCCTCCATTCCCCCTCAGAGCAGGTCTAAAGGTTGACCTCCACCTCTCAGCTCCATGCACCGGAGGCTAACGGACATGCTAGGCTGAAGGTGTCATGGTACCATCATCTGTCAGTCCCTACAGTATGAATAAAGGATAGGAATTCACTAGGAATACATGTATATTATCATGGCGATTCCAGTGGCACAGTCCAGCTGTCCACCATTGATTGCTATGTTCCAAACTAGGGCTGAGCAGTTAATTGAAATATTATCATAATCACAATATCGCCTGGTGCAACATCCAATTCACAGGAGCTAAATTTTTTTTTTGATGAGGGTAAAATGTGTGACAACAGACCATAAGTGAAGCATTGTGGGATAAAATCATATTCTCCAGATGTGAGGGATCGCACGTGTTTGATACAGACCCCGGCAAAAATCATATGTTTTTTATATCTATATTTTTTAAATATTTGTTTATATTTATTATTATATTTTTTTATATATAATTTTCAGTGAAAGTGAAATTCAAAAATGACCATTCCCACTTTAATTGTGACTCATTTCACAATCACAATATGACTCTCTTTTTTTTTTTTTGCGTATCATTCAGCAATATTCCAAACACTTGTGCTTCCAAGTCTCTGCTCCTCCCTCACAGCTCCAAAGCTCCTTCAGAAATTGTACACTGAGGGAAACGTTGTGAAGTGATGATTGTTTGGAACACACTGAATATTTGGATCAAAGTAAATGACGCTCCAGGAGTAGTTTGAAAAGTTTCTATAGGCATTTTAATTTGTATTGTTTTGCCATAACTTGATGTCGCCATTAGAATCCATTTGCAAAAGAGCGAACTGCAAACTTTTAACAGCTGCCTTCAAAGCTCATTGTTGGAGAGTGTTTGATACTGGAGGAATGGATTGTTACTTACAGAGGAACAGAATATATACACATGTATACACTCTCTCAACCAGTAATAGCACTGTGACATTAAGGGATAACATGACACATACTGTAAATCTAAGCTCCATTCTCTTTGCTTTTAACCGCACACTCTGAGTTTCCTCGTAAGCAGTATTTGACACCTTCAGAAGAAAAACCTGGTTTCCAGCAGCAGACTCATTTTCTCTAAATTACCTGGTTTCCTGAGCACTTAATGCAAGAAAATGGAGGGACAGGGGGCCGTGATGAGTCTGCTGAGTGCACTTTCCTCTTTCATGACAATATAAACTCCCACACATGAACACACGAACGGCTGCTTTACTCCATCTCATTCCCAAAGTAGCCTCATTTGAAAATGTTATTGTACATGCCTTTGTGATTTGATTGTATGTGAGAGGTCCCATCAATCATAAACGCGTCAGCCTGTGCATTGTTCTCCACCCATGCTAGATTGTTCAACTGAGTGAAACAAAAAGAAAACAGGCTGCTCAGTTTTTTTTTTTAAGTCCCCAGACCCAAGCAATCATCCCATTACCTGACGCCAACACCTCAAACACAAACCGGGTCGTCATGTCTGTTGAGAGTCAGCTGAGATACTCAGGGGTTGTTTGAAGGTGAGACACAACAATAAGATCAAGCCCCCCTCTTGATAAGCAATCAGCGAGGCCGACTCTGGAGACAATCACCGCAGAGACACCAGAGCAAGCTCAGACCTTTCCCAGTAATACCCTGTGGAATTGGTGACAGTTAGCCCAAATGGAAAACGGTCACAGAGAGGTGAACATAATCCCATCTACAGTCTGAGCAGTAAACTGTCCACACAGCACGTTATTACCCACTGAATCCAGCAAGAATAGACTGGCTTTCTTTGTTTGTAAAGGTTACAGAAAAAGCAATATCTGTCTGTGCAGCAGTTTTGTCACAGCGCCGCAATTTTGACTTTGATAACTAAGTTTCATATCCAAAAAATTCAATACTACAATATCACAGCCAACAGGGAAATCCATAAAGAAATCCATAAAGAAATATAAACCACCACCTGTTCTGGACAACTTGGTAGCAGCTGTTTCACGTGGGATTTTAAAAGTTGTTTAGTTGTTTGTCCACTGAGTTTATGGGCACGCAAGAAACCAGGAAGTCTCTATGGAGTGTCTGCAGTGAAACAGCATGACTGTGGAAACTCAAATACTTGGACTTGTTTGTTAGACTTGTTTGTTTCAGTTACAAATGAACTTTAGATCTTAGTGTAGGGCTGAAATGAGTAATCAGTTAAGAGGCTGGATGTAAACCAGACGGGATGCAGGCAGGGATTCTGGACACAAAAGTGGTCAGGATACTAGCGATGTCTGCATGTCTGATATTTGAAACACTTCAAGGGAAGGAGTTTAAGATGCAGTTCAACAAACCCACAAGTTAGTTCTCTAGAGGGGATAATTAAAGGTCATTTTAGATTGCGAAGCACATTTATGAAGTCTTTTCTTGCAAATTATCTGCAACCCTTGAAGGCAAAATTTAAAAGTCTTTCTTTAAGCCTTTTTCATAAACTGTAAATACAGTTGACCCAAGGTGATCTGTATCATTGAGACTTCTCTTGTATCATTCAGCTCTGTGGTATATTATCGAACAGTACCTTACCTTTCTCTTCCACTGCTCTGAACACGTGACTGGTGCTCTCTCTAAAACCTGCCTCCATATCTTCCTCCATTTTCCTGAGAAAGGCACAAATAGCAAAACCAGATGAACTGAATTAAAGGCAGAGCTGACGCTGGCCCTCATGTAGGCTCATCAGAATGGAGAATGAATGAAGGTTTGTTCTTGATAAGAAGTTGCTGTGTATCAGAGACGTGCCCTGACAGCAGATAAGTCATTTAAAGGATGCTTTGACACCCTTGGACATGTAATTGCCTTATAAACGGACCTCTGCAGGAGGCGTTTTTCTGCTCCAACAGACACAGGCTGGCTTAACACTGCAGACACAAACACGCCTGTTTCCCTGGCGTCGGACTAGTCTTGATTTCAACGGGGCCACCATCGATGTTTGTCAGAGCTCAAGTCTCTTCATTTAAGTTAATGAGCATGATGGGAAAAACATGCTGATCGAGTACTGGATTGACTACAACATAAACAAAAACATAGCGATGCAGCTGGAGACCATGTGTCCGAGGACTAAACGCAAACACTAAAGAAATGTCTGTGACGAGTGTTTGCTTGAAGCGTATATACTCATGCTTTGATCTGTTGCTCTGCTCCAACATGGCCGCTCAACACTTCTCCTCTTTTTGTTTTTTTGTTTTCTCAACAGGCGATGCGAAATCAGAGGACACGGCCAATAAGGAGGCAGGAGAGGAGAAACCAGAAGAGGACAACGACTATCACCGTAGCGACGAGCAGGTAAGACTCCAGCAAATCGTGGTTCTCCTCTCATCTTAAAGTGACAGCCTCTCTTTTACTTAGTTAAAGGGAAGGTTATACTCTCACATAGCTCTAGTTGTTTCTCATCAGAGTTGTGGGGATCACATGACTTGACTTAAGCCAGACTTAAGTCACAAATTTGAGGACTTGAGACTTGCCTGACCAACACTGGTAAAAGTCTCGACTTGACTTTGAGTTAGTATTCGTGATTTGAGACTTGACTTCGACTTGACACATTTGACTCAAAAGGACCTTTTTTTTTAATTTTATTAAATATTTGCATTTTCTAGATGTTGAGAAGTTACATTTAGATTTTGAAACATGATGATTTCTAGTACGACAAAACCTGACAACCTTTCCCTTTAGGAATAAACTAGTTTTAAGGAAAGTTCAGAGGCAGTGCATTAGTTTTTCTTTTTTTTTTTTAAAAGATTAGAAGAAGCAAATTAGATAAAATAATTACGGGTTACAAAACGGTCTGTCAGGAACAAAAGCACAAAGGAATAAAAATAATGTTGGTGATAATTGTTGGGACAATTACCTTAAAAGCCTGCATTTTAATTATTGCCTTTTATAAAAGTGGCCCCCATGTGATTCACCAGGCTGTTTTACAATTACTGTGCTCCTTTGTCTTTGGGTTTGTGGCTGTTTGATTTGTATAGATCTATTTAGTGACCGATTCCACTGCGCCACACCGCCGCCATGCACTGAATGCATTTAAAATGGAAATGGGCTTTTCTTGATTTCATTTGTATTCTGGCACGTTCTCCATCCCTGCAAAATGATATTAATAATGCAGAGAGAGCGGAGGGATTGTTGTTCAGGAGAGACGGTATCAGGAACACAAGGCGCTTTCCTTTAATGTTACACAGAAAATCGCCTTTGTTCTATTTTAGCTGTGGTTTTCGAAATAAAGGAAGCCGACAGGCAGATTTTTAAGAACAGGCCGGTCGTCTCCAAAACCAGCAGCTCTGCTCTGCCATGTCGGAGGAGGCAGGCTGCCCCGATGAGGGTGAAGATCTTGCCCTTTTGAAATTTCAGCAGCGGTGCAGAATGCGCTCGGAATAGCTAATAGGGCAGTTTGTGTGAGCTGAATGCAGCCATGTCAAATATCATGGAGGGGGAGGGGGGCAGTGAGAGAGCGGAGGAATACAAGATAAGATTTATTTGCGACTGCCGAGGTCCCACATTCACTGTTAACTTCTCTAACTAATGCTGCAGGTTATTTTCTTTGTTTGGAAGAAGCTATAAGAAATACTCTGGTAACAAGAAACCATACGGCAGATTTTGCCTTATTGTTTATACCCCGGAGAATTGTGGTCCAAAAGTCTGAGACTGGGATTTTCAGACCCCACTGTATCGCTCCCTCTATTGTATCGGGTTATGTTAATCTGTTGTGGGACATTGCATTGTCGAAAATCATTTAGCATGACTGATTGATGAGGATATTCAATTGTTTTCAACAATTTTTGCATTAATGTGGTCGAGTAATTCATTTGACAGGTATTTATTGATTTTAGAGAAAAATTACTATATCTAAATATATATCAATATAGTGACATAAAATTACACATGTCCTTATGGATGATTTGAGTAGATTCAAAAGCCTTTATTTGTCCTTGAGGGGAAATTTGCAGAGACATGTAGAGGAACACAGTCACAACAAGCACAGTTCAGGAAACTGACATAAAGAAAAAAAACCTAATTTGTTCACATTATGATACATATTATTAATATTAGCAGTATTATCATAGTAGTAAGTGCAAAAATGAGCTGTAAATGTTATGATGATATTGATATGATAATGATATTAGAGCTGTATACACAGTATGCATACCAAATGATTTGGAAATTATAATATTAGTGCACAATGTATAATGCAGTGTAATGAAAAATGAGCGGTATGCATTATGATAATAAAGATAATGATGATGAGAATGATATTAGTGCAGAAAGAATTATAATGCAGTTTACACAGTGTACGTAAAGATGGATGGCAGTCGCATGGTAATTTGATGAATATTGATAGCAGCATCAGTCCAAGCCATGTGCAAGTCAGTGTGTGTGTGTTTGATCCATATCGCCCACGCCTGCTAACAGGCTACTTTATGTATACAACTTTGTTTTTGTCAGATAACACAAACTTTGATTCCACTGTGGAACAGTAAAGTGAAGACGGATACTTGTAAAGATCCTTCGAAGCCTGTTTCTTTTCCCCAGAATGTAGCAACCAGCTACATGTTGTTTAGCAGATGATGCCATAATTACAGACAAGCTGTTAGAAAAAGCAGAGAGTGGTGAAGGGAGAAGATGAGAAAATGCAAAATGAGGTAGTGCCTCTCAAGAGGTTTATAGTCGTATGATAAATATGAGCAAAAGTGAAGAGAAATAAGTCAAAGCGTAGTAAAAAAAACAACTCCATAGGAGTGATACCAGCAGCTGCACTCAGGAAGAATAAACAGGAGGGACAAAAATTGTCCCAGAAAGCTGACTGCCCCCCCCCAAGCCGTCTTGGTGTCACTGAAGATGTAGAAGCCACTCGGATGTAAGAACCAGGCAGACCAACCGCCACGCATGGCCGATTTCCAGAACACGTCCCCGCTGTCTTCTGGACGACCTTTCAGAAGATGACCTTGGGGTGTGAAGCGGTGCCAGAGAGAGCTAATGAAAGCAATGACACACCAAAACAAAAAAAAACTGCAAAAAGAATAACAACAAAAGCCACAATTAATCAGACGAACCTGCATTATTACCAAAGCATGAAGCAGTGGAGTTTCAGATGAGGTATGAAGTGTGGGGATATTGTCACCTTCAGGCTCTCGTTGGGAGAGAACAGATTGTATAAATGTAAGAAACTACAGCTGGTTTGGGTTTAAAGAGTCTTACTTTGTAGAAATTGGAGAATGCAGCTTTGCTTTAAATTATTAATCAAGCTTTGGATGCTCAAAGCTTCATTTATCAGCGACTTCCAAACTCAACACTCACAGACAGATGAAGCCAGACTTGCACACAGAACTACACAAAGTCTTCAGCAAAACAATACGGATAGAAAGACTCAGTAATGAGTGTTTTCTCTGCGTGGCATGAAAAAGTCATGTATGATATTTTCTTCATGCCTCAGTGTTGCATCAGTCACACCTGTGTGTGTGTATGTGTGTGTGTGTGTGTATCTGTAGCAGGACTCTTAGGCTCCTTAAAGACGTTGTTGTTGATGTAATGTAATGAAACTGCCTCGCAGACGCTGCAGAGTCCAGATCACCACCAAGGCTTTTATTTCACATTGTGATCCTCCCTCACAGCCAAGTGCTACTGGAAAGCAGATGAAAGAAGGAGATTGAAATATTATCATAATCACAATATCGCCTGTTGCAACATCCAATTCAACAGGAGCTAAATTTTTTTTTTGTATGAGGGTAAAATGTGTGACAACAGACCATAAGTGAAGCATTGTGGGAATAAAATCATATTCTCCGCAGATGTGAGGGATCGCACGTGTTTGATACAGACCCCGGCAAAAATCATATGTTTTTTTATATCTATTTTTTAAATATTTGTTTATATTTATTATTATATTTTTTATATATAATTTTTCAGTGAAAGTGAAATTCAAAAAATGACCATTCCCACTTTAATTGTGACTCATTTCAACAATCACAATATGAATCTCTTTTTTTTTTTTTTTGCGTATCATTCAGCAATATTCCAAACACTTGTGCTTCCAAGTCTCTGCTCCTCCCTCACAGCTCAAAGTCCTTCAGAAATTGTACACTGAGGAAACGTTGTGAAGTGATGATTGTTTGGAAACACACTGAATATTTGGATCAAAGTAAATGACGCTCCAGGAGTAGTTTGAAAAGTTTCTATAGCATTTTAATTTGTATTGTTTTGCCATAACTTGATGTCGCATTAGAATCCATTTGCAAAAGACGAACTAAAACTTTTAACAGCGCCTTCAAAGCTCATTGTTGGAGAGTGTTTGATACTGGAGGAATGGATTGTTACTTACAGAGGAACAGAATATATACACATGTATACACTCTTCTCAACCAGTAATAGCATCTGTGACATTAAGGGATAACATGACACATACTGTAATATCTAAGCTCCATTCTCTTTGCTTTTAACCCACACTCTGAGTTTCCTGTAAGCAGTATTTGACACCTTCAGAAGAAAACCTGGTTTCCAGCAGCAGACTCATTTTCTCTAAATTACCTGTTTCCTGAGCACTTAATGCAAGAAAATGGAGGGACAGGGGGCCGTGATGAGTCTGCTGAGTGCACTTTCCTCTTTCATGACAATATAAACTCCCACACAGAACACACGAACGCTGCTTTACTCCATCTCATTCCCAAAGTACCTCATTTGAAAATGTTATTGTACATGCCTTTGTGATTTGATTGTATGTGAGAGGTCCATCAATCAATAAACAGCTAAAGTCACCTGTGCATTGTTCTCCACCCATGCTAGATTGTTCAACTGAGTGAAACAAAAAGAAAAAACAGGCTGCTCAGTTTTTTTTTTTAAGTCCCCAGACCAACAAAAAATCATCCCATTACCTGACGCCACACCTCAAACACAAACCGGGTCGTCATGTCTGTTGAGAGTCAGCTGAGATACTCAGGGGTTGTTTGAAGGTGAGACACAACAATAAGATCAAGCCCCCTCTTGATAAGCAATCAGCGAGGCCGACTCTGGAGACAATCACCGCAGAGACACCAGAGCAAGCTCAGACCTTTCCCAGTAATACCCTGTGGAATTGGTGACAGTTAGCCCAAATGGAAAACGGTCACAGAGAGGTGAACATAATCCATCTACAGTCTGAGCAGTAAACTGTCCACCAAGCACGTTATTACCCACTGAATCCAGCAAGAATAGACTGGCTTTCTTTGTTTGTAAAGGTTACAGAAAAAGCAATATCTGTTTTGTGCAGCAGTTTTGTCACAGGCGCCGCAATTTTTGACTTTGATAACTAAGTTTAT